TTCTCTGGACACAAAATTGTTTACTGATGGTCTTTTCTTTCCAGACTTTAAACATTTCACTTCATTCTCTTCTTAGTTGTATTGGTTCCTGACATCTGATGTCATTATTATTATCGTTCCTCCATAGATAAAGTGTTTTTGCCTTGACTTCTTTCAAGATTTTCTTTTTGTCTTTGGTTTTCTGCAGTTTGAATATAATGCGCCTAAGTGTTGATCAAGTCTCTTGGTATTTATCCACTTGTTATTTATTCCCTGAGCTTTCTTGATTTGTAGTCTGGTTTTTCCTATCAATTTTGGAAAATTTTCAGCTATTACTTTACATCTTTCTCCTCATCCTTTCTCTTTCTCCTCCTGGTATTCCCAAACACACATATTACATCATTTGTGATTGTGCCACAAAAATCTTGGATACCATTCTGCCTTTTTCATTCTTTTTTCACTTTGCTCTTCAGTTTGAGTGGTTTCTATTGACCTGTCTTGAAGTTCACTGATGCTTTTCTCAGTCATGTGTAGTTTCTAAGAGCCAATCAAAAGCATTCTCCATTTCTGTTACAACGTTTTTTATTTCTGGCATTTCTTTTTATTCTTAGGATTTCCATTTCTCTGCCTACATTGCCCAACTGTTCTTGCCTTTTGTTCACTTTTCCCACTTAAGCCCTTGGCATACTCATCACAGGTGTTTTTAAATTCATGTCTGCTAATTCCAGTGTCTCTGCCATATCTGAGTCTGGTCTGATATTTTGTCTCTTCAGATTGTGTTTTGACTTTTGGCATGCCTTCTCATCTTCAGCTGAAAGCCAAACACGATGTATTCAGCAGAAGGCACTGAGGTAAGCAGGCCTTTGGTGTGAGGTTTTATGCCTCTGTCTAGGAGGAAGGCTGGGCTCATTATCTGCTGTAGCTGCAAGAATCAGAGGCTCCAATCTCCTCTGGTGTCTTTGCTTTTGTCTCCCCTACTGTCTTGATTTCCCTTGAAACTCCTTCTTAAGTAGAGTCAGAGCTGTGGCCCCCTTGGTTGTCCTTATTCAGGAGCTCTGTAGTTGTGAGGCCAGGTGGAAGAGGGAAGGGGAGGGAAGGGAAGGAAAGGGGAGAGCAGCGGAGGGAAAGGGGAGGGCAGGGGAGGGAAAGGGGAGGGGAGGGGTCTGTAGCCCCATGATTTGGTCTCATGTTTTCAGGGGGCCTGCACACTGCATCCTTCACAAATGATTCTCAAATGATTCTCAAGGTACTGCCCCCTGAGACAGGAAGGCTAAGAGGCTGGAGCCAAGTGATTTTCCCTCCCCAAAAGTCAGATGTGCTGGTGAAGAAGGCCTTGCCCTTGCACAGTGGGGTCTGTAGGGAGAAAGCTCTGGCTAAATTTAGTCACCTTCCCTCCCCTCGCCACACTGGAGGGGATCCTTCTCCTGTCTGCACCATAGGAACTTGGTGGTGCTCCTGGAAGTAGAACCCATGAAACTGAGGCAGCCAGCAGACCAGAAATCTGGGAGCCCTCGCTCCACAGCCAGCCCCAGCCTCCATCAATGCCTCCATGGCCCTATGTGGGGTTCCTACCCATTTTTGGCTCCAGCAGCTGCTCTTCCGGAAACCACAGTTCTCTGTATCTGCCTGTTTCTCCAGTTTTGGGGTCAGCAGTTTGCCCTGTGACCACAACTCTCTGATGTGATCTAAGAAAAATCAGTTTTCTGTTTTTTGCCTTTTTATGGTGAGGGAGAGAGAAATGACTTCCCAGCTCTTTTACATGTTGGAATGGAAACCAGAGGTCTCCAGAACGGTCACATTGGGAAAGGTATGGCAGGCTCTCAGAGTTAAAAATCAGCACTTACAGGAATTCGCCCAGGAGAATGAAAACATGTCAGCACAGAGACTTGTACACAAGTGTTCATACCAGCTTTATTTGAAATAGCCAAAAACTGGAAACAATCTGAATGTTCATCGGCAGGTAAACAGATGAATTTGGTTTATCCACACAACAAAATCCTACTCGCAATGAGAAGAAATAGATTGGAATATGCAATAAAATTAATCTTTCAAAATAATTTTTCTGAGTGAAAGAAATAAAAAATACATACTGTATAACTGCATTTATACAAAATTATAGAAAATGCAAATTAATCTCTAGTGACAGAAGGTAGACCAGTGTTTCCCCAAGGGTGGAGTGGGGGTGAGGAGGGGCAGTGCAGGGAACACGGAAGGGCCTGGGTGACTTTCTTGGGGGATTGTGCATGATTTCGATTGTGGGGATGATTTCATGGTAAATACCTGTCAAAGGAAATCACGTTTTATACCTTAAATATGACTGGCGTGTTGTCTGTTACACCAGAATACCAGAATAAAGTTGTTTCAAAAGAGAGGAAAACTAAAATTAGCTCCTTCTGACAGGGAGTGGTTAGAGAACATATACAATTAATTTTATTACTGAAAAAGAAAGAAAATAAAGTTTATCAGTAGAACATTTTTATATTAGGGAGCTAGAAAACTCCATAATACTTCAGGAGCTAGAAAACTTTTACAATGCATATGCAGTTTAGAAAATGATTATATGCTTAGCCAATATTCTAGAACTTACCCACCTATGCAATGAAATGCTGTTTCCCCAAAACACAGACTGAGAATAAAAATTTTTATTCCAATATGTGGCCATTGCTCAATAACCATTTTTGGACTGTCTCCTGGATTTGAAATGATTTTCAGTCCCAGTTTATGAGCAACATTAGAAAACTACTTTTATTGTTTTATGATCACACCTGGCAAATGAAATCCTTATTACATTTCCTACTTTAAAGCTGGGATTTCTAAAATGTATTTGAAAGCAGCCCAGTTCTGACACAGTGTAACACACTGCTTTTCAACAACTTCCTCAGTGACCATTTTCTCAAGAACATTATCTTGGAGCAAAATTGGCTTTGTGTTTCCTCCTGTGAAATGTGCACACTGCCTGAAAATCAGTTTAGAATAAAACTACATGTTTGTAAATGGAAAAAGTACTAATATGTGAAGTGAATAAAATATGGCTCTTCAATGATGAGTTTAAAACTGATGCTACCAAAAAATATTGGTATAAATCCCCCATCTTATCAGCACTCACTTTATCCATCTTTGGAATAACACACACTTTCTCTTTAGAATTTCTTATATTACTCTTTGAATTATATAATATTAGGTACACTGAAGTATAAAAAATTCCTTCTAATTGTAAAGTATTATAAAGTATGAATACCCAGATTGCTTGAGCCCAGGAGTTCAAGACCAGCCTGAGCAACATGGCAAAACCCTGTCTCTACAAAAACATACAAAAATTACCCAGGTGTGGTGGCATGCATCTGTAGTTCCAGCTACTAAGGAGGCTGATGTGGGAGGATCGATTGAACCCAGGAAGTCAAGGCTGCAGTGAGCCGTCATTGAGCTGGTGCACTCCAGCCTGGTGACACAGTGAGACACTGTCTCAAAAAAAAAAAAAAAAAAAAAAAGACATGTTCCCACCATCCAAATTAAGAACCAAACACTGCCAATTCTGAGCTCTTCCCAGTCCCACCCTCTGCCCCCAAAATATGTGACCATGATTAGATAGATGGACAGGCAGATGTGGTTTGGTTTTGTTTTTGTACTTTATGAAAATGGTTTCATATGTCTGTGGTCTTCAGTGCCTATGATTTCATTCCAAATTATGTTCCTAAGATCAAGGATTGCATGTAGCATGGTGGTCTCCAATTTTACCGCTCTGTGCTACCTCAGTGTAGATTTGCCAGTTTACCCATGTATATGTTTGGGTTGTTTTTAGTTTGGTGCTATCACCCTGCACAGTCCCCCAGCACATGTGCAAGTTCTTTAGAACAGTGGTTCTCAAACTGGACAGTAGAATCCCACATGAGAGCAAGTTTATTATAAAAGGCAGGTCACCCTTCCACAGAGATTCTGAGTCAGTAGCTTCTGGAGACCCAGAAGTCTCCATTTTAACAAACACTCAAGATGATCCTAATGCAAATGCTCTAGACATTACAGTGTAATCAACTGTGTTCTAAACACACACCTAGTGTGCTGGGCACAGAGGTATGCACACAGCCAGATTTGCTGTGTTTCCAAAGTTGCTGTACTACTTTAGGCCCCAACCAACAGGGTGCAAAGTTTCAGTAGTCTATATGTGCTCCACAGATTTTCCCTCCAATCTAATGACTGTCAAATGGCATTTCATTTTGGCCTTAATTTTCATGTTCTCAATTTCTATATTTTGCTATTGGCTACTCATATTTTCTCTTTTGTGACATACTTATTCAGGTCTGCTGTTCAATTTCCAATTCTCCTATAGACATGTAAAACCTTATTTTGTTCACTATCCTGGATAGTAGTCCTTTGTGAATTATATGTTGCAACTACCACTTGTGGTTTATCATTTCACCTTAAAGGTGTCTTATATGAACAGAATCTTTTAATTTTAATGTAGTCAAATTCATCCATCTTTTTTAGTATGCTTAATGCATTTTTAAAGAACTTTAATAAATCTAAAATTATTTTAAAAATTAATTTTGATTTCTCCTTTAAAATTTAAGTTAATGCTGGAATTGATTTTTGTTTGGTGTGAGGTAGGCACACCTGAAGTGTGCCAAGCTCACCTTGTTTTTGCATATGGCGCTCTGCTCACTAAGAACTCTCCCCGCCACCTCCTGATGCCTTGACCAACCTCAGAGAAGCCTCCTTGACCAGATACCCAAAGCAGTTCCTCACCATTCTCCACTCGGCCCACAAATCAAGAGGCCTCAGGAAACTCTCGCTTGGTTTCCACACAGAGCTCCTGCATCTCCAAAGACCTGCTTAATTCATTTTCATTTTGACCAAAAGCTGCTTAATAAAAGATATTCTACTAAAATTAATTTTACATTACACAAGGCTTTTGGCCAGGTGTGATGGCTCAAGCCAGTAATCCTAGCACTTTGGGAGGCAAAGGTGAGCAATTGCTTGAGCTTAGAAGTTCGAGACCAGCCTAGACAACACAGTGAGACACCATCTCAAAAGAAAATTTTTTTAATAAAATAAAGTCACACAAGACTTTTAGCTAATTTCATTTTCAGCTTCTTCCCACTATAAGATGAACTGTATATGTTACATATAATAAATTCAGGTGTTCCCAAATTTTAGCATAATTTTTAAAATTCTAAGTTATTAGGGAAAAACAGTAAACCTATGGATAGTAAGGGAGACCAGTGCCCTGGCGTTTTGGTGAAATCACAGCAATGTGTAAGCGTTTCTATCAGGATTCTTGATATTAATAGAGCATGAACTTTTAAATTCACTGAAGATGTAACATTATGAAATTTAGACAATAATCACAGGCTATTTAAGGAGGAAGGTAGGAAAGTTAAGTAACCAGTGGAGAAATGGTCTGCCTTTCTGGGTGTGAAGATACTCCCAGCACTAATGCAGCTTAGGCAGTGGCCTTGCCAGTGTGAAGGAGCCACTATCTGCTCAAGCAAGAATCCTCCCAGACTCTCCACCTGCTGAGACCACAGCAGTCTCGGCCTCAGCCTCAGCCACGGCCACCACCACAGCCACAGCCCTGGTCTCAGCCTCGGCCAAAGCCTCAGCCAAGGCCTCCGCCTCCGCCTCAGCCCCAGCCCCAGGCGCCCAGCCTAGGCCTCAGCCTCAGCCACAGCCACAGCACCAGCCCTGGTCTCAGCCTCGGCCTCAGCTTCAGGCATGGCCTCAGCCACAGTCTCAGCCTCCATGCGTGGGTCGGACATGGCCATGCACCAGGAGCCTCCAGGAGCCACTCCCAATCTGGTTTGCATTCTCCCACAGAAAATGGCACCACTTTCTGTAACTTTTTTTTTGTTTGTTTTTTAACTTTCAAACAAGCTTACTGCAATGAGAACAGTATGAGCATTTTTTTTGTACTGAGGAACTTTACCAAAAATTGTGTCAAACTGTTAACCCCTTTGAAAGTTTTCAGGGTCCTGATGAGGGATGAAGCAGCATAATTATATATTGTTGAATGTTAACATAAGAGATAGATAGAAAACACAACTGATTTTTTAAGCCTGAAAATTTTTCGAGTGACCAGTATTATATTTGTTCAATTTCTAGGTCATCGTGATATTTATATAGTCATTCACAATGTTTCACCAAAGCAAAACATGAAAAACTGTAAAAATAATAAAAGACTCCCAATAACACAAAGCTTTTATAATAATAATTATGGAACATGGACATTTTAATGAATTTCATATTGCAATGAAGACACTCAACACTTAGAGACAATTATATCAATACAATAAAAACTGATTCCACAGAACACTTATAAATGCATACATTTTCCTCCAAAGAAACATGTTTTTCACAGATTTAAGTAACAAATGATTTATAGAGGATTCTTCAGATTCCAAAATATGTACAGAGTTTTTGTCTCTACTGAAACTGATGAGCAGTGGTTGAAAAAGAGTTGTTTTGCCCAACAGCATGGCTGTTAAGAAATCCTGTATTGATACACACTTTTCAGTAACCACACATTTTCTGTCTATCATTAAATGAAATTCTGGACACATCAGCATACAGGACAAACCTGTTCCCACTTCCAAACACTGTTTCACACGAGATCACATGTGGTTGACAGTATGACTTAATTTAGCCACACACACATGCACACGCACATACACGCACCATCCCCAATCTTGTCTGTGACTCCTGATTAACACGCTGCAGCAGCAGTGGATGAGCTCACATTAGAAGATGACACAGCAGCGAACAGCAAGGCGCCCCCGCTCCTGAGAGCTGTGCCTGAGCACCGCAGGGCTGCGCCCCGAAGGACGTGCAGGAATCCAGTTTCTGAGGTCCCTCCAGTTCGCTGGAGAAGGTGAGCAGCTGTGGCAGTGAAGGGCACCAGTGTGCCTGGAACTCAATGACCACTAGGAATATTGATTTTTAAAAGCCTCAAAAATGTTTAATCTGGCAGAGATCTGGATTTGGCTATTTGCAGCCATTTTTCAATGTTCCTAACCATCATCCTAAAACACCCAGACTTTCAAATTAAACCCCGAGGAACCCAAGCAGGCGGCCTGTGCAGTGGCCCCAGAAGCTGCCCTGGGCTCAGACCTTTGCATGTGCAGTGCGGGAGGCTCTGGGAATTGGACCTCCGGCCAAGAGAAAAGCGAGGCCCCAGCAACATCTGGACACAGCACAGCCCTGCATCAGGCAAGTTCGCTCAGGACAGCAGGAGCTGAAACCTGAGAGTCTAATCAACCAGAGGGACCAGGTAGGCTCCGTTCTCAGAACAGTGCAGTCAGGAAACAATGTCGGACAAAAATACAACACATTTTTTATCTGTAAAATCAAATGACTGAAATATTTGCTGTTTGTCCCTCAGCCACGTCAGATCCATCTGAGGTCGTTATCAGTTATTCTTGGGCCCCAGGCTGTCAGTCATTTCAGAGTCATTCTAGATGACTTAGATTCAAAGTTCCTCGGGCCAGCTCCTGAAGACCCAAGTAGGGAGGTGCCTCTCAGCCCTGGCGAGCTGCACCAAAGGATGGGTCCAAAAGTCCCACGTCCTAATGCACCTGCATCTACCAGTCACCAGATGGGTTCCCTCCTACCTCACCATAAAACGGGGCAAAACACAAAGACCTGGGGGTGTCACATGACAGCTGCAAATATTACCTTCCTCTGTCTCTCCAAGTGGTGAGCCTCCAGGTGGACATATTGAAAGGACTGAAAATACAAGAGGCAAGAAATGAGAGCCTCTTTATCAAAACCGTAACTCAGCAAGAAACATTAACATACAGATACCAGGTGAGCAGTATTTTCCAAGAAGGCAAGAACACCAGGCTACCTCAGCAGTAGCGGGACTGGCACTGAGAGGCGTCCCCACCATGGGGGCTGGAAGTGTCTCGTCACCGGGGCCTGCTGGCTGCGGCCATCAGCTTGTGCGCCTAAGTGGAGAGCCTACACCTTCAGGACACGTCGGTGTGACTGTCTTTCCTGCCTTCTGAACTGAACTCAGTATTCCAGCTATAAACCAAAGTGCTCCAGCCAGGCAACAGTGAGACCCAAAGTTTCCCAAAGACCCGTCTCTGAGGTAGTGTTGTTGGCTCTCAAACACCACCACGGGAGTGAGCCCATTCGGAAGCACACGACCGAGGTGCGGAGAATTAACTGGGCTCTGTGTGCAGGCGGCAGGGCCTCTTATCAAGGTCAAGTCACATTCAATGGACAAGTCATTTGAAACATCTAAAGCCTGTTTATAACCATAGCTATAAATTAAAGTGCTTTACATTTTGCTTAATATTTGAAATCGGTGATTAGAATCCTATTTCAAAATTTGCTAGGATGAGAGCTCAGGAGATTGAAATGATTTTCTATAAAAAAGCAGAAAACTTTTCTTTCCTAAAGAAACTCCAAATGGTGCAAATCCAACATCCCATGCTTTTTTTTAACTTCTCAACTCCAGGTTACCTTTGCAGAACTGTAACAGAAATCAGAGTGGAAGCTGACTACACGACAGCACGTGCTGAACTTCACGCGAGGTAAACACAAACTCCCAGAGCGATCCTGCTGGTCACCAGCCAACACAGGCAGCCCCACAGTCTTCCCAGCACAGGCAGATACATACAGTTACTTCAGGGAACGCAGGACTGCTGAGGCCGCAACGTAATACAGAGGTTCACATGTAATTCACACAAATGTAATGCCCTACTGTTCACCTGTCCAATGTCAACAACTCACAAGCATTTCATGTGCTACATGGGAGGTGAGCTTCGCCTCTACTGCCCAGAGGACCCAATACACACACATATACAAGACAAAAGTAAAAAATACGACCACACATTTCTCTGTACATTTCATGCAAGCTGGGCACTATGTGAAAAGAACATATACAAAGCACCCTTCCCAGGGTCAAACTCTCACAAAATGGCTGATTAATATGCAGAAAAGCCTGCACCCATCAAAGGTCTGTGCTGGCGAAGAGTGAAACTAAGGACTGCCGGTGTCCTTATTTTTCTTGTAGCAATGCAGGGATGTTGATGTTCCAACCAATGGCTTGCCGGTCAAACCCACAGGTGAACAGATTGCACACGGGGTGGTCTTCACTCCATGCCGAGCAGCACACCATTCTCCTGTGACCCTAGTGACGATCAAACAAACCAAAATCAGTGCATTATTCCCGAAAGTAAGATTTATAAGACCTCAGCGAAATGAATAACCACATCACTCAAAGTAAGAAAGTTACAAGAAAATAACATGGTGCCCAGGATTAGTCCCAAGGACTGCGTAGCACGGACCGCCAAGCATGGACCATGGATCATGGACCACCAAGCATGGACCATGGATCACGGACTGCCGAGCACCAACCACTGCCAAACACAGACCACCGAGCACCCCATGGATCATAGAGCACGGACCACTGAGCACTGACCACCGAGCACGGATCGCCGAGCCCGGCAGAGCCGCCAGGACGTGCAGCCAGGCCAGGACGAGTGAGGCCAAGATGCCGGTGAGCACAAAGGTTGGTGGAACCTGCCCCAAAACCACTGTATGACTCCTTCTTTAAGAAAATATGAGTAAGATTACAGTCAGACAAAATAAACTAATGATCAATGTGAAAATTTTGAATAAATGAGGCTAGGAGATATTTAGGGGTAAATTAAATGATATTCACTCAAATACTTCAAATAGGATTTTAACAAATAACTGGCTTCGGTAATGAACTGGAAAAATACATTTGGTGTCATATAAAACAAGGATAAATAAATGGCCTTTTAGGTAGATTCCTGCCATCTTCAGCAATTCCAGTTAAATATCAGCATGTTGGAAAAGTTACTGCAAAATATGTGACAGAGCAATAACATATCGGTGTGTATGTAGGTAGCAGATGCAGGCTCTTAGCCAACACTTAGAATGTCTGTAAGCAGTGCCTTAGGACCCATCTGCATTTTCTAAATTACACAACAGCTCTGATACATTGCTATTACAGCATAAGGTACAAGAGTGAGTCAGTATTAAGTAAAGCTGACAGATTAAGAAACACCCAAAGAATGGCATAAAATTTTCCTGCAAAATATTCACGTATAAATATGCTATTTATACATCTGGAGAGAGAACCACAATAGCTATTTATACATCTGGAGAGAGAATCACAAAAGGCCAGAAAAATAAAATAATTGTAAGAAAGACCACATAACAAAGGCTTACAAAAGGCACAAAAAAGGAAGCAGCAATGCATCCATTAACTGGCAGTAAAACCAAGGCTGTGGGCAAGAGCTCTTCACAGTGAAACTCAAGGCATTTGCTGCAGAAGTGCCAAAGACAAAGAGCTTCCAGAAGAAAGCCAGCCAGGCTTTCACCCCGGCAGAGCTCCCATGGGATTTCCATCTCTCGTGCGCCCACAGCATTGCCACCCAGGAAGCAGATGCACCCCGAAGATGTTCCATGCCATCGTGGCAGCCCCAGTGCACATGATGTGCTGCTCCAGGACACTCAGCACGGGGCCCAGTGGGCCTCCACTTCGCGGGGACCCTCATGCTCCGTGAGCCTCCACTTCGCGGGGACCCTTGAGCCCCGTGGGCCTCCACTTCGCGGGGACCCTCACGCTCTGTGAGCCTCCACTTCACAGAGGCCCTCATGCAGGGACCCTCACACCCCATGAGCCCTCACTTCATAGGGACCCTCGCGCCCCGTGAGTCTCCACATCACAGAGACCCTCACGCAGTGACCCTCGCGCCCCATGAGCCTGCTCTTCACAGGAACCCTGACCCTGGACCTCCTGACTCTCCACTAAGCTTGCTTTCCCAAAACTCACGCTGGGAAGTGACACCTACTCCAGCACTACAGGGAAATATTTTCAATCAGTTCCTTTCACTCCACTACTTAAAGGCTCAAATAAGTGTTTTGTTTTCTCTCTTCCAAGTCGGTCAGCTGAAGAAGTAGGAACAAGTCGGTGATTTCCAGCAGGGTTCTGCGACACTGAAAACCACATTTATTTATCTGAAGAGGTGTTACAAGTTCTAAATAAAGTTAAATCACATTCATTAATCTTAAAAATAAATCTATTTCACAAGTTAATGGGTGCAGCACACCAACATGGCACATGTATACATATGTAACAAACCTGCACGTTGTGCATATGTACCCTAGAACTTAAAGTATAATTAAAAAATAAAAAATAAATAAATCTATTTCACATACCACTTTAGGAGGGAATAAACCCAGGCACAACAGAATCCTACAATGTCAACAAAGTTGAATGTTCACAGATAACTGAAAACTGTCTACACAGAATTAGGGCCACAAAGAACCATTCAGAATTCCATTTCTCTGAGGGAAAATACTCTCAAAGTAATAAAGTCGTAATTCATAGTCATAAACAAATAGTTCTCATGAATTTGTGCTTCAAAATGCAAACTTCACATGCTGCACAGAAATTTTACAATTCACACAGGCATGTTGAAAAGACAACATTCTACTATGTCTAAGATGCAGCTGAGAGGACACATAAGTGATACTCAGCTGTTAACAAAACATGAAAAGATTCCCCAGGACAAGCAATTTATGGCTGTGTTAAGGGTTGTGAAGCATATTTTAGTCACTCTAATTTCATGAAATTTTTCTACTCCACTATTTTGATGTGTATCAAGGAGTAAAAACATCAATAATTGACTTCAAACAGTACACTCTCACGCTGTGAAGGGGACTGAAGAGACACCCGGTCTCAGTGAAGGTCAGTTCCAGAAAGTCTGTGCCACTTGAAGAAAAGGTGTTGCTGCGCTGAGAGAGCCCCCACTTTCGCACGTGCCTCCCGGATCACCCAGCCTGCCTGCAGTTTCTGAGGCTCACACCCCGCAGAGCAGCTGCAGCCCATGAGCCACGAGCTGGTCTCCAGACTGAGCCACAGAGGCACTGAGGAGGCCACCGGAGCGGCCTGCAGGCATGTGCGGCCCTGGGCAGCCACAGGAGGCCTTGGGGAACAAATCCATTTACTCACACAGGTATCCAGACAGTACCCCAACAAGATCAAAAGACAGGAAAGAGGGATCCTCTATGAGGGGTCCCATTACGCACAAGGCTGGGGAGACGCTGCCTTGACCACGGGGAGTTTCTGTGCGTCGCAGCTGCCCCTGTGACCTCCCAGGGGAAAGCCAACAGCAAATGCCGCCCACACTACAGCAAAGCCCGACTGCAGAGCTCATCAGAGTCGCAAGGGAATTTGAACACTGGCCCCCAGGCCCCCTGGGCCTCTACATCTGTGCGGGTGCCGCGGAGTCTCGATTCTCTTTGCGCCTTCCAGGCAACCAGGACAGGTGGGCTGAACAGCACATAGCAAGAAACTCCCTCCGCTGTCTTCCAAAGTTAGCAAGGAGCAACCCTTCACTAACAAGAAACTGACATTTAAATAGATTTTTTCCTGTCGCAAAAGCCTGCCATAGAAACGTGTTTTTCTGGCTGGAGGTGGAAGAGATCCCACCTTAAAGACCCCCCAGTCTACAACCAACCTGGCTTCTGCCTGGCCACAATGCCCACTCAACACTTCCAGTCCGTACAGACACAACTGCAGACATCTAAAACTGCTTCCCTACAGAGCTGCCACCACTAACACGTGCACCAAAGGGCTCGTTCCGCATGGCTGTGAAACAGAGGAACTGCATGTTTTGTTTATTTTTAAACTTAAAAACTGACCATGGTATTAAGAACACTGGGCTGGGTGCGGTGGCTCATGCCTATAATCCTAGCACTTTGGGAAGCTGAGGCAGGCAGATCACCTGAGGTCAGGAGTTTGAGACCAGCCTGACCAACTTGGAGAAACCCCATCTCTACCAGAAGTACAAAATTAGCCAGGTATGGTGGCACATGCCTGTAATCTCAGCTACTGGGGAAGCTGAGGCATAAGAATTGCTTGAACCCGCGAGACAGAGGTTGCAGTGAGATCACGCCACCGCACTCCAGCCTGGGCAACAAGAGCAAAACTCCATCTCAAAAAAAAAAAAAAAAAAAAAAAAAGAACACTGAGGTAGGTGTGGAATAACTCGGGTGTACAACTCTACTTCTTCAACTTTAAATTTTATGAACTCTAAATACAGCTCAAGTATTTCCAACGAAAACTTAGCATGCAAAGACTTAGTAACAAATAAGAACGTAAAATATCTCTACCCGTCCTCCTCCACCATGCCCTGCGTATGCACACCGACCGTGCTGTTACCTGTCGGCTGCTCCGGGGAAGCCGTGCCAGGCGCACTCCTGACATATCAAACAGTCTCACTTGTCGGTTGTCATGGGGGAGGGCTATGATTTTTTGGCCGACACATACATTGATCCTGCAAAGAGGTAAAAGTGGGTTGTGTATAAAACAGTGACACTGTAAGTTTTTGAATTTACAGATAATGAGGCAGGAGGTTCCATATTATTCACATTTCAAGGCTAACTACATTAACACACTGCGTGTGCCACCTGCTTACGGTATTCAAAAGAGACCAAGTTACTCACACGTAGCTACAAGATCACACAGACCCCATGCACACACACACAATACACACACACACACTGCTCAATGGTAGAACCAGACCCACCTAGACACAAGACTAACCCTCACAAGAAGTCAAGAGAAGCCCTGCACGTCTGCCACAAATGGGTCATTCTCATTCTTACAAATCTCACCGATCCTACCTGGTTTTAGGCTCAGTTAGTTTAAGTTTTCATGGAATACTGAAACTGCATTAGAGGACAAAGGAACCTAACCATTGTTCCCAGGGTTCTATCAATTAAACCTCCATGAATAAAACATGAAATCACAATCAACCCTTTCCCACCAGACTACACCACTTACTTAACCAACAGTTTGACATTACCTGTTAATGGCAGAGTCCGTGCGAATAGTTGCAATAGGGGATCTCATATTTTTCAAGTCCCAGACTTTCACCGTGCGGTCATCGCTGCCTGAAACCACGTTGTCTCCCACGGTGAACACAGCAGAGGTCACAGTGCTACAAGCAGAGGGCACAGGGTCAGACACAACAGCAGGTGCAGGATGCGACACCACACCCCACACACAACCCTGACCAAGTGGGTGGGAAGGAGGTCAGAGAAGCGCAAACTCACAGCTGTCTCCTCTGCAAACTGCTCCCGCCTCCCAAAGCCTCTCCACCAGTGCAAGAAAAGGACACCTGATTTCTTCCCAGTGGATTAGAAACACACAGTCCATTCTACTCTATTCCACATCTCCAGGCAACGGAACAAACAGAACATGCCCAAATGTCTACACATCCGGGTCTATGGCAGAGAATTTAAAAAATCCATTCCAACAACACTCTCAATCAATGTAATCATAACACAGGAGTTAGAGAAAAACATTCTGACAACTCAACAATTCAAACACAGACAAAGAACTTGGAACAACATTTTCCCAAAGAAGATACACCAACAGCCAAGAAGCCCCACACACCAGCATTCACAGTAGCATTACTGACAACGGCCAAAGAGATGCAAACAACCCACATACCCATCAGCAGATGGATTTAATGTGGCGTGTACACACAATGGAATATTATTCAGTCGTAAAAAAGAAACTCTAACACAAGCTACGACATGAATGAACTTTCAAGAATCCCCCTCATCTAAGATCCCTGGACTAGGCAAATTCATAGACACGGGAAGTAGAACAGAGGTTCTCGGGGTCTGAGGGACAGGCAAGAATAGTTTCACAGGCACATCTAAGATCCCTGGACTAGGCAAATTCATAGACACAGGAAGTAGAACACAGGTTCTCGGGGTCTGGGGGACAGGCATGAATAGTTTCACAGGCACATCTAAGATCCCTGGACTAGGCAAATTCATAGACACGGGAAGTAGAACAGAGGTTCTCGGGGTCTGGGGGACAGGCATGAATAGTTTCACAGGCACATCTAAGATCCCTGGACTAGGCAAATTCATAGACACAGGAAGTAGAACACAGGTTCTAGGGGTCTGGAGGACAGGCAAGAATAGTTTCACGAGTGCAGAGTTTCCATTTGAGATAATGAAAAAGCACGGGAAATAGTGCTGGTGGTTGTACAACAATGTGAATTGATTTAATGCCACTGAAATACACACATAAAAACAGTTAAAATGGTAAGTTTTATATTATGTATATATTTAAACACAATTTTTATCTTAAAAAGTTTGAGGAGAAAAATTCAACATCACAACCACTCTTGGAACCTGCTTATATAAATCCAAAATAATAGTTTTCTTTTTAATTCAAATGTGTTGAAATATGTGGCCCTCAGGGAGAGGGGCTCAAGAAACCAAAGAGGCCCTGAAACAGCTAAGATGGGAGACACACCCTAAAGATGAAAAGTACCATAAAAACAAGAAGAGATGGGGAAGAAAGGTTTCATCAGTTTGTGTTAAACTCTTTCATCAACTTTGCTCTTGAAATGTAAAAAACAGTGTATGATATGGTGCTAAGTATATTAAATACCCTTACTAGTGGTGAAATTGGATTAAACATATAAACAAAGTACATTATCACTTAAATTGCACTGAGAATCACTGAAGAAACCCAGGCAAAATCTACAGAGGAAACCACGTCCTCACTGGCTGAGGCTGTGCTGGCGGTGGCTGGGGCGACTATCTTAACCAGCAATCAAAGGAAAGTCTCTGGCACTTGCCAAAAGGTATTTAGGACTCAAATAATAAAACGACATTTGAAGAAGAAAATTCAATCACCTCTTTGCTCACTGGCAAAGTTCAGTAAAAAGAGTGTGATAAAAACCTTACTTTCCCTGTGAGCTCAGGGCACACCATCCAGGCAGGATCCACAGCTCTCTTCAGCAGTGGCCAGGGGGTCTGCATGTCCTGCCTGGCTCAGGGCTGGGGTGGGTCTGCGTGCTCGCCAGTCCCCCATGACTGGCCCACCCAGGAAGACATGGTCTGACTTCAGGGCACAGTGGGCAGATCCTGAGATGCAGGGGCAGTGCCCTCTCGGAGAGACACAGGCTTGACCCCTACACTGTCTCCCAGGGCACAAAAACTGGGGTCACTCACTCTGTATAGAGGCTCAAAACTCACCTCACCCCTCACTAAAGCGGCTGAGATACCTACACAGATGATAAGCATGTGAATTTCCACCTATCCATGAAGGAAGTGTCCTCTTGTCATCACAAATCACTAATTTACGTGGACCAAAAGCTTGGTTTCCACATCTACCCTCACCAAGGTCCAGTCCATAAAAATTGCTTGGAACTCTGGAGTCCAATTAAATGCCAGTTGTCCCAGCCACTGAAGCTGTACTGTGACATGGGATTTCATGCTCTATGCGGCCCTGGATGAGAGGAGCACCATCCAGTCATCAAGCCCATTTATGAAAATCCTCCTCATTTTAAGTGGACACGAGCTGAGTTCTAATTAAGTCTAAGTTCCACTGCATTAAGACAAGGTTTTTAAAAATATAACATCAAAGTACAGCAGAGCTACTAAGAATCAAGGAGTGTCAACAACACCTGGCAACACGCTCTGACACTGAGGCCCCGGAACACAGTCGGGATGATGTGGCAGCGACCGTTTTCACGTCTGCCTTCTCAAAGGCCTGGTCGTGGTGCCCACAGCTGCCGTGTGGATTTGCTGACACTTATTCCCCCGCTCGGGGCCCTTCCCTGGGGTGCGGCATCCTGGCCTGTGGATGTAGCAACCGCCCTGCCCAGGTCCATGAGAAACTAGAGCAGGCCCCTCCCCAGGGGTGACAACCAACATCTCTCCTGGGGGGAAACTGCCCGACAGGAAACCGCGGCATCACACGGGGCAGGACACGAACAAACGCCCAGCCGGGTAACAAGGGCAGCACGGATAATGAGGGCTGCACTGGTAACTACAACAGCATGAGCAGAGAAGAGAAATTCTGCAAAATCAACCCAGTAACGCCTCCAGATTCTTCATCTAAAAAAATAAAGAACAACGTGAGGGCTTGACTATGAATCAGACGCTGCCATGCTTCAGTGAGAAGGTTACAATGAGGCTTAGAGGACTCCGACTGCTGGGGGAGCCTGGAAGAGCGAGAGGAGAGCTGCCCCCGACTTCTCTCTGAACTGGAGTCTTCAGGAGGTTTGGCCAAGTTAAATTTCAGTGAACATTCTGCTAAATTAATAGGGAAAAAGGCTCAACAAAAGATCGCCTAACCCCATGTTAATGAAATGCTGAAAGACATTAGGTTTTTAATAAATCACAATCCTGACAAGTATTGTCGGACATCAAAAGAAAAAAGAACTGGCAAAGAGGCAGCAGTTTCCAAGGCACCCTCAGCCCACAGGTCCCACGGGGAGGCTGGCTCGCACGGCCGTGCACTGGAAATGGTTCCGACGCTGCCAAACTCCGGCAAACTCATTTATCTTGTCGTGTGGGGCAGCCGAGCGTGCTCCTCCAGCTGACAGTGCGGCACCTCCTCGCCGCACACCACTGCCTGGTCTGGAACATTCCGCTCCCTCCGCGGGTCTCCATCAGCGGAAACGCCGCGAAGCTGGCATCCTCATTAGGACCAACAGCTGTCTCGCAGTCACACAGAGACACAGAACCACTTCTGCATAACAATCTGCCGAAATTTCACGGCTAAGGAAAAGAAGACACGATGTGGAAAACACTGGGCCACAAAGCGCTGATGGGAGTGCTTTTCCGGCACGACATCAAACACTGACGATCGTTTCCTTTCCTATTTTTAAAACGCAGCTTCCTCGAGGTAATGTGTTTACCTCTGAGGAGCACGCCTGTGTGTCCACAGAGAGCAAGGGTGCTCCAGGGGGAGGCCTGCAGACGGCAGTCCCTTCCTTGGAACCCAGGCTTCTCAGTCAAGGCACTGAGAATAGATCTTTGAAAATGAACAGCTGTGAAACAGGCACCACTGTGGCTTTATTATTTTGGCAGGTCAACTGTTCTATTACAGTGCTGATACAAAAGTACAACACCTGTGTCACCAACAACCCTGACCTTAAAACAGTGCTCTGAGTAAGTAACCAAAGGACACCCCAACAAGCCAGCCCAGGACCCCCGGGTGCCCCTCGGAGAGGGGGCTTCACAGTGCAAGGGAAGATGTGGGGTAGCTGCGTTGTGTTCAGAGTCATCAGAGCCCTTCCTGCAATTTCTAAGCTATCTGCATGAAATCCAACTCCTAACACATTAATCAGGTCTTCCCTTCACAGCCAGGCAGCCCAAATGCACACTCGGGGTCTCCGAAGTTCCATCCTGGCCTTTCTCATCACCCACATCTTTCGGAATTCAAGAACTCACACAAGCATTCGTTCGACGAACTCGGAGGACTGACCAAGAAACGGAAAAGTCACATTCCAATAAGACACATTTCTAAATACTCCTTGATGGCTACCTCCTAAAAAAGTGGACCCTTAAAATAAAAAACTATCAAAGCAAAAATCAAGTATGTATCACACGTGATTCTTTTTCAGAATTTCAAATTCAACTGTTCCCTGGAGAAGTCAGCTCTCCTAATGCATAGTTCTACCTCAGTAGTCTCATGGGGCCATGCTACTCTCCAAACCCCTCAGCAAAAATAATGAGAGATTTCCCAACTAAGTCACTGATAAGGGCTGCACCACAGAACTGTTCATGCAACAAATATTTATTAAGCACTGGCTGTGTGCAGGCCCTGCTCCTCCTGAGACAGTGTGCAGCAGAGGAGGAGGTAAAGTCACTCCAGTGACGCCTCCCTCCTCCCAGTGAAGGGGGCAAGTGACCGGCCACTTATAAGGTCAGCAGTGTTAGGCACACAATAGCACCCTAAGGGCTGGAAGTGCTGCCAACAGGCATCACAGCAAAGCTACAAGAAGCCTCTGCAATATCCACGTTTACCACAGCCCACAGAGAAGAGCTTCTAAAGTGACTTCAGACTACGCTAAAGCCTCCCTAAGATCTGATTAACTGAATTAATAAGAACCTTTCCACAGACTATTCAAACAAAACATTTAGTTCAGTACAACCTGACTACCTCACCCAGCCAAAAATA